TTTAGAATTTCCTCATTTTATACTACAGTTATTAGGCTAGTTGAATGTACATGATCATTTTTTCTATGGCACAATATGCCAAAAGAAGAGAAGATTGGGTTGGCACCTTTTAGGAGATGACTATACACGGTTTTTGAAGTTGGAGACTCCAACCAACAATTTCACAGTAAGGATTTAAGTAACAATACCGCTTAAGGTTTGTTCCACTAATTAGCAAAATTTAAACAGAATGGTTCTCTGGAAGAAACTAATAGCAGTTTGAGCAGTTGGTGGCTCGGGCGAGTTCTCCACATCAAAGTTCAGATTCCTTAAGTGGGTTTCAAGATTATATTGCAATAGAGGTAGAATTACATCAATATCCTGATCTCACCAGTACCATGAGTTGGGGTGCGCCGACACGAGTGGAAAGGAGATCACTGCACTAAGGGGTGCACGTGTTTCCGCATTCCTGAACCAACAATTCTTCTAATTCGTCATTGTTTGTGAAATGTTATCTAGACATAGATGAAAGATAGTAGAATGAAAAGAATTTACGTTAATGGTGATGGAAGACAATAGAATGAAAAGAATTTACTTTAAATTAGGGTTTAGGGTTAATTTAGTAATTAGCACATCTGTTTTGGATTTTTAGAATTAGTTTAGGAGTTTTTACGTTTATTTATGGTACTGACTGTTATATCTTTATTTGGATTAGGGATTAAGCAAAAACTATAAAAATGATAGCTGTAGGAGTATGAAAATCTCAAAGTAATGTGTGTGACGTTCTCAACAATAGTTCTGAGTTAAAAGGTTGTCCACTTAAGAAGGATTGATGGTTCTAAGTTGAAGGTTTATTTGCTTAATTCCTACTTGACTCTCAAGTTCAGGTGCCAACTTGGAGCAGAATCACAGGATTTTCGAAGACTAGTTGCTTCCTTTTCAGTTTCTATGGGAAAGGATGACCCTTTTGATGACCCTTTTGGCTTCTCTATCGGCTAAGGCTAATAGCCACTTTGCTAATATTTCCATTTCTTTGCTACATAGAAATTGGGGGGGTGGGGAGCGGCAATATTATGTTAACTTTTTTCACTTTTTAGCTTTTAGAAGGTTTTAGGAGGATATTTTATTCTCTGGCATTGTGTTTGCTGTCTTTATTTCCTCAATAATATTTCTTTCTTTATCAAAAAAATCTCTAAAAATGTTGTAGTGTATTTGTATCATGTAAAGGTTAAAATCCTTTCGTTCATGCATAATCCTTCACTAATAATGCTCAATAAAACTTGTAATCTAAATCATGTGGGGAATTTAGAAAATGCTTTTGTTTAATAATGCACCATAGTTTTTGGTATTTTCTAGATGCGCGGGTCAAAATGGTAGCATATAGGACAAATTAATTGATATATATTGATGTTATCTGGGTGCATGTATCATTGAAAGATCAATTACATGTGTCATTAATTGTTTACTCATTATTCATGTGTTTCATTATCAGCCTCATAAGGTTGATTAGTGAAACAAGAGACATAAAATTTTGAGCTTCAAGTGTTGAGATTGAAAAGCACTTAGTTCCTATTGGTTAGTGCTAAATTGGATCCCAGAGATAAGTTGCTAATTCCCTTGCACATGGAGGCTCTGATTATCTTTAACAAGTGTCTTTGTGTCTCTTCACTAGTTTGATATTATTTTCATATATACGTATGATCTATTTATTTATGTATTTACATATTGCTGAAATTGAGATGGTTTCAATTTTTCATACCTCTAAGCGTTGATAATGACTCTGAGCCATTTGCAAAATGTATCTGGACTTATCCTTTGTGAAATCATGAGCTAGCAACATTTTAATATTCAAGCCGTTTCTCCCTTTTCATTGACAAACGAGTGGAAGGCAAGATCAGGATAAATTTTAAACAGTAGAAACTGAAACTGCAAAAAACCTTGAAGCATATTGTTCTTTTTTTTTCTTTCTCAATAACGAAGACATTGTTTTTTTTTTTTTTTTTTTTTTCTATAAATAGGAGCTTTTCTTCATCCACAAGCAAATGTATGCATGCAATATTCGATATATTAATGTACATTTATAAGTTTTCTTAGTTGAATCATGTACTTATAGCAATGTAATTTTGGGTTTTCTTCAAGTTGCTAAATAAACCTACACTTCATGGTAAAGCTTATATACTTTCTGATTGGCTTTGTAATGGCTTTCACATGTCAAAGGTTATATTCCCAAGTTTTGGCGAGCGGTATATTCCCACTGTTCTTTTCCAGTCTATATATGAGGAGGTTCAAAAAATGCAAGGAAGATAGCCTGAAATATATTCCGGGACCATTCACAGTTTTACAGAATTTTGCATGTCCTCGTATTTTCAAGTGGAAAGCAGCTGTAGTTGATAAGTGAGTTTATTTTTATTAGTAATTCATGCAGTTAAACTTGCTAGGTAAAAATTATTTGTTTATTTTTTTTCAGGTGCAACTCTCATATCAAGGCATATGACCTGGGATTAAACTTTTGATTGATTGCAAGAGATCAGCAGAATTTTTTTATCAGAGAAGTTGTTTCTGCAAGGGTTTGTTCTAGACAGGTGATTGTGGCTTGCATGAATTGCCTCTCAATCCTCATTTTGTCATCATCCTGTGCCCAAAGGTATCAAATTTGATCTTCAAGCGTGGACATTATGGTTTTGAATCCAATAGATTAGGCGGTAGGATCACTTAAAGTTTCCCAACTTTTTTAATTAATCTCTTGGATGGGAAGAGGCTAGAAACCAAGGGGTAGAGTTTAAAGTTGATAGTTGGAAATCTAAATTGATTAGATTTTCTTTTAAAGAACTCGTGTTATCTTAATTCAGTTATATTCATAAAAAAAAAAATATATAAATTTAAAACTTGTATTCTACATTGACAATAGAAGGATGTCATAAGGAAATGGACTGGCATGTTGCATGTGTGTAGAGCTTCTTGTCTCTGTCTATAACAAGCTTGGTTAATGTATTTTGAATCTTTCACGTATTTGGTGAAGATTGACTGACCATAGTCATTGGCATAGTAGTCATTGTTCTATCATAGATTCCAATAGTATTCTTTTAAATAAAAGTATATACGGCTATTCTGTTCTGAAAAAACTTAATTATTCGTTTTCAAATATGGGTTTTTTTCTTTCCGAAAAGAAAAAGGAAATGTTTTACAACTCATTGTGCCTTAGATTCTTAGCTTGATATTGGAAACTCTTGTATGATTGAACTTTATGAAGAGAAAATGCAAGATGAAGAAATATAAGTAGAAATATCTAGGTTTAAATTGTGGTGTAGACCGTTCCCATTCATTTGGTTTATATCTTGGTTCATGACTAATAAGGCACCGTCCATGACTAGTAAGCCATGGTAGTGAATGCTGATTGTGATAGGGAAGTAGGCCATTGAGTATAATTGTGATATTGATATGGGCCTTGTTCAGGAGATATTCGGTCACCGAGTTCACATGTATTCGGAAAAAAACTCTGGAATTCTCATGGGCTTGGCTCACAATTCTCACCTTTCATATATATAAACATATGTGTGTGTGTGTGTGTGTATACACGTGCATATGTTTATCTATATGTATTTGTAAGATCATCATTCATAGCCTTCATTTAAATTCTTAGCAATGACAGTTCTTTAGTATGTTGGAAGAAGTTAGGGGTTGGAGGTTAGCTGTTGCTTCATCATGTTTAAAGAAAAATCTTATGCTCTTGATTTTCTTTGTTTCTGCCCGCAAGACTATCTCTTGCCGGAATTTCTGATGTTAATGAAAAACGGTGAGCTGGTGACTGGGAGATGTTACCCTTGCTCCGCCGTAAGCCATGAATATACAGAAGTATTATGCCATTCTGGAGTGTTTTCAAAAACTATTTCCGGAGTT